TGCTGTTGGAGTGCCCCAGGCTGCTGGGGCGGCGGGGCGCCGCGATCAGGGAGTGCGCAGAGGCCCTGGAGCAGGTGGGCCGCGCCGCCCGCCTGGGGGTCCGCCTCGCGAGGAGCTTTGCGCCAGCGAGCCCCCGACCAATCGTCGCTGTGACGGGCCTCTGATTTGCGAACCACGTTTCTTCCCTTTGCTGCTGCTTGCCTCTGTGCCATTAAGCTCATGCTGCGCCTGCAAGCGCTCACATGGTGTCGAGGCAACGATCCCCGTCCCCGCGCCCATGCCCGCAGGTCTGCCAGTCGCCACTCTCGCGCATCGCGCCGCTGCTGGTGCAGTCGCCTGCGCCCCTCGCGCTCTCCGCGCGACGCGTCTTCGCCGCGGCCGCTGCGCTGCAGCGCGACCTGCGCCTGTCGGAGGCTGGGCTCGCCGTCGCGCTGCGGCGCGCGCCGGCGGCGCTCGCGGCGCCGCCGGGGCGCGTGGGCGCGCTGGCGGGCGTGCTGTCTGGCAGGATGCAGGTGGCGGAGGATGTGGCGCTCGACCTATTGCTCCAGGTGATATGGGGTCTGCGTGGAAGCCGCCCAGCGGCTGCACACCAAACATTGAGCTGCCGCGGCTCTGCGTCGCAATGGCATGCTTCACCTGTCAGCTGGTGAATGCTTGATACCGCTGAGTGCCCGACGCCTCGAGCGGCTACCCCAGCTTGGGTGCCGAGCATCGACGTCCCGCTGGTCTGCTTGGACACGTTCGCAGGAGCCGGCCCTGCTGACGTGCGGCCCGGGCGCTGTGGGCGCCTTGCTGGACGCCATCACGTCTTGCTTTGAGCTCGATCCTGGCCAGCTCCTGCAGGTGGGTGGGGTGTCCGTGTGTGCGGGCGGGCGGCGGTTGGGGCGCTGCGTGCATGTGGTTGTGAATGTGCGCACGCGCCCGGGTGCGTGCTGCGGTGCGTGAATAGATGGTGCATGGACGTTGTGCGCATGCAGGCGCACGTGCTTGCGTAGCATCCAGTTTTGAACCAGCACTGTTCCTGGCGAGTCAGCGCGTTTGACAGCGCTGGCCATGTCATACTTTGGCGGCCGCCCACAGCAGCCCACCTGTCCTCACAGCTCTCTCCTGCCCCTGGGGAGCGCCGCCGCGCCCAGCACCCCTCTCAGGGTACGACACCCCTTTCCTTCTTCTCCCCCCTTGTGTTCCCCCCTTCCTGCCTCCATGTCCCATCACAGGTCGTCGAATTCGACCCGTCAGCGCTACTGGTGTCCCCAGGCGTCCTGGGTGGCCGCATGCGGCACTTCAGGGCCCTGGCGGACAGCTGCGCGCCCTGGCGGCGCGAATTTGCGTGAGCCCCCGCCAGTCGACCTCTCTGCTGCCGACAATTGGTGGCTCGTTACGCCCTTCCTTCCCGGAAATTTCACATGGTGTGGCATCAACAAGCTAGTGTACGCGTCGTATGTGCTTGCTTCCCCCCAAACTCACACACATATCTACAATTGTGCATCATCGCGACCCCTCAGGCGTCTCATGGCGGAGCCGGCCAACGTTGCGCGTGCCCTCAACCTGGACGAGCCCCGGCTGCAGCGCCTCTCGTACCTCGCAGCCACGGGCCGCCAGGAGCTCATAAGCATGCGTTCGGCGCTCACGCTGGGCCGCGCCCAGTTCAAGCGCGCGTACCCTCGGTTCGACGAGTGGAGGGTGCGCGTCAAGGGCGGCGGCGGAGGCGGAGGGGTTGACGCTGGCGCAGGGACAGGGAGCGACGACGACCGGCGTGCGCCGCGGCTGCCGCAGCGTAGCTAAGAGCAGGCTGCGCGTGTGCGGCATACTGGCGGCTCACCCGCGTCGGGTTTGAGGCGACCCTCTTCAGGGGCGACTTTGACTGGCAGAGTATTGCAAGCGGCCTGCAAGATTTGCATGAGGAGGCACCACTCTTCTCAAACCATCTCAAACAAGGTGAGGTGTGGCAAGCCAGCAAACCCCTCTAATCCGACTGCAAGCTACGCGTGCAACGTCCCTGCGCATTGACATGATGCATATCTGCATTGTGATGCTCGGCTTGAACTGCGTACAGCAGCAATGTATCGCACCTAATTTCAACATCCCCACACGCCCCGCACAGGTTGCAGCGCTTGCTGAAACCTGCTTGCCGCTATCTCTGGATTGGCTGGCGGGCGGCGTGTTCTCATTGAAGCTAATGGAGCGAGTCTTGCTGCTCACATGTTTGAGTGCATTGTTTGCGAGTAGAAGGGTCTTAAAAAAGGGCGATGTACACAGAAAGAGGGGAGAGCTGCAAAGCTCGCTTGGCAAAAACCCCTCTTGTGTGTTTTCTGTCATAACCCAGTTTCCTATTGTTATCAAGAATGAGCCACCTCCTGCCGAGGTTGATGTAACAGCAACCGCAAGATAGATGGCTTTGGGAGTGTACCACCCCAAAACTCCCGCATCATCACTCATGTTACGATCACAACAATCGTGATACGGGAGCCGATTTGTCAGGGAGGTTGTAAAAGGACGAAGGGTTGTGGTCAATAAGGGCAGTGCCGACATGCCTACAGTGAAAATGCGGCAGCTATGCTTCGACGCAACTGCATGATGTGGCTTGTGTGTGTGTTCTGTGTGTGTGTGTGTGTGTGTGTGTGTGTGTGTGTGTGTGTGTGTGTGTGTGCGCGCACGCGCGCGCGCGTGCGTGCGCGTGTGTGCGTGTGCGCGAGCGCGCACGTGTGTGTATGTGTGTGTTTCTCCTTCACCATTCGAAGGGCTTATGCGCCCTCTCCCTGTCGTACTACATAGTGTGTTACTGCAACCGCCGCAGCGCCGCTCGGTGGGCAACACAAGTTACCAGTTTGTCATCACCCTGGTGACGCGAGAACCCAGCAAGCCGCTGTCAAGTGCCGGTCATTGGATGAAGGCATATCACTCCAGGCCGTTCTGAGTCCCATGCGACCCCTGATCCGACATAGTTTCACTGATCTGCGAATCCCGCAGCATCTCCGATCGCCTATCGCTCGAGCTAACAAACCCGTCATGGCGACCGCGGTGGCAAGTGAGCCTTATCACAACGCGCTGTTGGCTTGTGATGGCAAAGCACGGCACGGCAGTCCGCGGTGGTGCACCGCAGTGGTGGCGTCCCTTGCGCCGCACCATTTCACGTCAAACCGCGCTCCCCCCGCCCCAACGCCACAACACCTTCAGCCGACTCCTACGCGGAACTGAAGGCCCGCACCAAGGCCGCGGGGCAGCAGCAGGTGCTGGAAGACTGGGACGCTCTGACACCAGAGGAGCAGGCGGCACTGGCTAGCGAGGTCAAGGTGCGCGCCCCTCTTCGACTCCCAAGGCCTGCCGGGGCCCTTGGTGCTCAACGCCGCTCCTCTCTGTCCCAGGTCTCATTCGAAGCCAGCGCCATGCGGTCGCGACCTCGCATGCACCCATGCGGTCCCGCATCTTCATGCTCTCCCACATGCGGCCACAGCGCTCGACGCACGTTTTGACTGTGATACGCGGCCCCCCAACGCCGACGCCGCGCCCGCCTCGCCTCACGCCTAATAATTTCCCAAACCTGCCAGGACCTCGACTTTGGCTTCATCCGCAGCGCCCTCACCGCCAGCCTGGCCAGCGCCGGCGCCGCCGGCGAGGGCGCCAAGCCCGTGGCCGGCGTTGTGCAGCTGGGGGCTGGCGGCGCGACTGACGAGGAGCGCAGGGGGTGGCGCGACCTGGGCCTGCGGCTGGTTGCCGAGGTGGGCGCGCTGTCGTGCGGTTTGTCTGTCGCGGGCCGAGGACCCGCCTCAGCAGCCGCCGGCAGGCAATTCGCGAGGCCCAGCTCCGAGGTTGCCTGCGGGTGACATTTTGCTTGGTGAAGGGAAGGCTTGGAAAAGCTTTGTCGTCGCTTTCGCGCGGTGCGCGGACCTCACCTGGGGGTGCTTCTGCTCCGAATACACCGCTGGCTGTGCGCAGGGCAAGGTGGCTGTGCTGCTGCTGGCGGGCGGCCAGGGCACTCGGCTCGGCAGCAAGCTCCCAAAGGTGGGTGGGTGCATGCAGGCATGTGAGCGCATGCAGGCGCATGCAGGCGCATGCGTGCATGAAGGGGCATGCAGGCGTGCGTGCACACGCAGGCATGCAGGGGCGTGTGCATGCGCATGTTGAACCGGGTGTGTGCGCGCATGTGGACGCATGTCCATGTGCGGCGCATGCTCGCGGGTTTGTCTACCAACCGATCACATGCACGCATGCGGAGACGGGCTTCTGGGGATCAGCAAGCCTGCTGGGGCCGCAGTTGTGTGACGAGTGCGATCAGCACTTTGCCGTTGGATGCAGGCGCTGGCCCCTGCTGCCGCCTGCGACCCTCGGCCGGCCCCCTGATGCCGCTACCCTGCTCTTCAGCTTGCCCGCCTAGAGGGAGCCAGCATCAATGCTTGCATACCTGCACTGGCATCAAAGCCTCTGCCCACCCACCCCTCTCAAACCTCTCGTCATTCTCTTGTCAAATCAGGGCTGCTACGACATCGGCCTGCCCTCCCACAAGAGCCTCTTCCAGCTGCAGGCCGAGCGCCTGCTGGCGCTGCAGCGGCTGGCGGCGCAGGCCGGCGGCGGGCAGGGCAAGGCCCTGCAGTGGTTCATCATGACGAGCCCCTTCACCCATGCGGACACAGTGTGAGTTATGTTGAGGTCGAAGCAGAAACACCTCAGGGTCTAATAAAGGGGTCGAATCAGCTCGTACCATTTCTCAGGCCGTTGAGGGGATGGCTGCCGGCGGCTGTGCGGGCATGCACGCTCAGAACGCCCGAGGGCGTGCACGACGCCGCCGGGCCGCTCGCGTTGGGACGAGCCGCCCAGGCCCCCAGGCCCGCCGCATCCGGCCCCGTCCCGTAGCGCCCGCTTCGGCCGCATGCTGCAAGATCTTTGGCCTTTTTCTCCCAACCCAACCAGGGCGCACTTTGAAGCGGGCGGCTACTTTGGTTTGGACAAGGCCCAGGTGACCTTCTTCCAGCAGGGCTTCCTGCCCTGCATGACAGAGGAGGGCCAGATCATCATGGAGACCAGCAGCAAGGTTTGAAATCGGAGCCCGACAGATGGGATCGCGCATGGGTCATGCCTGCGGGCGCGCGTTCTGAGCAGAACACAGGGCTAAGCATGGTGTGACTGTACTGTATGGGTTGACGGGTGGTTTCATGGGATTTTCGCCACTGAGGTGCTTGAGGACTGCAGGAATGCGCCATGCTGGGAGCATCCTGTATTTGCACGGCGCCAGGCCGCTCAGCCCGCCCCCCTCAGCCCCCCGCCCTGCGACCATCCCGGCGCGTCGCAGGTCGCCAAGGCGCCCGACGGCAACGGCGGCCTGTACCGCGCGCTCCACGTCAGCGGCGCGCTGGCGGCCATGCAGGCGGCCGGCGTGGAGGCCCTCGACGTGTACTGCGTCGACAACAGCCTGGCCCGCCTGGGGGATCCCGAGTTCGTCGGCTGCTGCTACGCCCGCGGCACGCAGGTCGGAGGGCGCTGCACCAGGGCGATTCGGACGCGTGGACTTGTGGGGCGGCGAGGAGAGAATATCGCCGAGGCCTCGGGGACGTCGCGGCGTTTGATCTCGCAGCGGACTGTCCGAGGGCGTGACTGCTAAGCGTTTTGAGCGGCTTCCAGGACTTGATCCCTTCGATTGGTGCGGGCATCATCGATTTTCTCGCGTTCTCGGCCGCCTCCGTTTGGCCGTCTGCAGGTGGGGGCGCGTGTGCTGGCTAAGGCCCACCCCGAGGAGAAGGTCGGCGTCTTCGCGGCCACGCCAGAGGGCCGGCTGCAGGTGCGGGAGCAGCGCGACGCGTTGGTCTGGGAGCCACGCAGCATGTACATTGCCCGCATCAGGCTTTTTTGCAAGTGCAAAACCCGGTCAACTAGCTGGTTGTGGCAGGAGCGGCCCTTTTTGCATGCATTACGGCGCTCCTGGATGCAAACACCTTGCCACCAAGCCACGCAACCAACTCTCACCCAGCATGACACACAGCCACGCCCCGCCGCGCGGACACCCAGGCCCTTCCAAAGCTCCTTTCGAACCCTGCACCCTGTTCCAAGCCCCTTGCAGCTAGTAGCATCCCCATTAGTATTGGATTGCACCTCAAACCCCACCCTAAACCCCGGCGTCTACACTCACCCCTCACTCTAACCTGAAGCTTCCCCCAAACACCGCCCATTGCCCCAGGTCCTGGAGTACTCTGAGCTGGACCCCGCCAAGGCGTCCTCTATCGACCCCGCCACCGGCCAGCTGTACTTCAACTGGTCAAACATCTGCATGCACTACTTCAGCATCGACTGGCTCGCGGCCACGGTCAAGGTCCGCGTCGCAGTCTATCTGCGTGGGGAACGGCTGGGGTCGTGGTGGTGTGTTTGTGCCTTCTATGCTCATGCCCCCCTTTCCCCGCACACTGTCACGCCAGGCGCTGTCTGGCCCGGGGGCTGCGTACCACATCGCCCGCAAGGCCATCCCCTCCAAGGGCGGCTCCAAGGTGAGTCGGGGCGGGGCGGGGCGGGCCGCACCTCGCCAGCCGCTACACACGCAGGGCGCCCCTGTCCTGCTGGCACGACTGCAAACACTACGAAGCGAAGAGAGCGAGTCCGAGGTTGCATGCTGTTTGCGGTGCCCCCGCGCGACGAGTGCTGTGCCGAGCTCGCGTTGCCACATGCTTGCATAGGCGGCGGCGCCCTGAGGTTGCACGACTCCGTGGCTTGCATGGCTCCGGCCTCCGCCTCTTGCCGCCTTCTCCGTCCCGTGGCTTGGACGCGGCCTGCCCTGGCCCGAGCCCCTGTCCACGCTGACATCACCACCCAATCATATCATCAGCAATGTCCGCCACGTTGAAAACCCTGCCCTGCCCCAGACGCCCGGCGTAAAGCTGGAGATGTTCATCTTCGACCCCTTTGCCACCGCCGACAAGACCACGCTGTTCGAGGTGCTCTCAGGATGCACTCGCCCTGCTGCCCTGCCGCCGGCCCCTGGCCTTGGTCGAGGGAACGGCCGCTGATCTGCAGGCTGGGGGTGGCGCGGGCTGCGACCTACGATTGCGCGTCGTCCGCGCTGGCAGCCGCTGCCTGTCCTGACGCGTCGCTGCTTCCAGTTTGCTCCTACCCATCGCTCGTGAAATCTTCACTCGCCTGCACTTGCCGGTCCCATCATCGCCTCCGACTGAAAGTTGGCCTGCCTGCGCGACCGATCCGCGCCCTCCGCCCCAGGTGGCTCGGGAGGACCACTTCGGGCCGGTCAAGAACGCCCCCGGCAGCGACACAGACTCCCCAGACACGGCGCGCGCCCTGCTCCTCGCGCAGGGCGCCCGCTGGGCCGCCGCCGCGGGCGCCAAGGTCGCGCAGGACAGCGCGGGGCTGGAGGTGCCGGCTCTGGTGTCGTACGCAGGGGAGGGGCTCGAGGGGCTGGTGGGCGGCCTGGAGGTCGCCGCGCCGGGGCCGTGGCTGCTGGGCGCGGACGGGCGGCTGGACGCCTGATGAGTTGACGTCGAGTCGTGCCTTGACGACGTCATGCGTCATGGCAGGGCTGCCCGCTTGGGAGCGTTTTGGGGCATCGAAGGGGCGCCAGACCTGGCAGCGCGGTGCTTGCCGCGGTGACGTAGCTGCTGCCACCCAGGAGAATGGTGGCGAGAGCGCGGGCTGGCGGGCGGCTCTTGCAAGGTGGTGTGGGTGTGGGTGTGGGTTGATACGTGGTATCGCGGGGAAGCTGCAGCGTGTGACTCTCCACGCCCGCCCACTTGAAGGTCGTGATCAACAAAAGAGAAAGAAACCACCTCTTGTCTGTCATGTGCTTGTAACGGGCTGCTAGTATGGTTTGGAGGGCCGCCCGGGGTTGGCTGGAAGACTGCAATGCATGTCCGCACGCCGCTGTGAATCGTGCGCCTGCCGGATCAGACAACACTTGTAACACTTCCTTGAGGCGCCTGCTCTCCCAGCGAGCCTACCCAGGGCCAACTCAAAGGGGGGCGAGTATCAAATGCTGGTCCCGCGCAAAAGCTTCCCTTGGACCCTTGTCCTTGTCTTGAAACGTGGTGCGCGGTCGGCACGGTGCATGCAGTTACATGTCTTTGTTGGATGTTGCATTGGGTGTTGCCTGAGCCAGTCCGACTACAGCAATGAGAGTCTTAAGACCATGGCGAGGCTCCCTCAGCTGCCAGGCACCAGGGTTTAGGGTTTGGGATTTAGTCGCTGGCGGTGCAGCAAGTGTGGAGGACGGGCGCCGCCCGGTCAGGCTCAGTGCCGTGTTGAGGCCGGAGAGGGGGAAGGTCAAGCGCGGTTGATGGCGGCGCTCGCTGCAGAGGAGGTTGCCTTGGTGCAGGCGCGAGGCAGCTTTCGCACTGCACACCCATCTTCAGACAATGTTCAGCTTGGCAAGCCGAACCAGGTTGGGCCGCCGTCAAGGAGTCGGCACACACGCGGCATTACGAATAAGAACAGGGCCTTGAGTCAGCGATCAGGGCGCTGTCACGGACAGCGTGCATCGGGGAGTTGGCGCAGGGTCAGAACTCAGGCGAGCAGGGCGCACCCCACCCGTGGCCCCCAAACGGGCCCAGCCCCGGGCTGCCGGCGCCCCAGACCGGGCGCAGCGCGCTGCGCGGGGGCGACAGTGCGGTGTCGAAATCCAGGTCCATGTCTTGCGGCTCGTCCTGCACGGCCGCCGCAGCGCCGCAGTCAGCGGGAGGCCACTCTTGTTGGCTGCCGCTGCTGCAGCCGCTGCCGCCGCTGCCAGTGCTGCTGCTGCTTGCGCTGCCGCTGGCGCTGCCGGTGCTGCTGCTGTTGCTGCCTCCGCCGCGGTTTGACAGCACCGCCGTGGCCGCGAGCGCCGCGGCCGCCGCCGCCGCGGCCGCCGTCATCCAAGGGCCCTTGCCGCCGCCGATACCGCTGCCCAGGGCCCCGGCAGGCCGGGCTCGCGCGGGGGGCGCGCGCTTGCGCACCGGAGACTCGAGGCGCAACCCGTCTGGGGCGCCCTGCTCAGACGCGTCTGCCGCGGCCGCCGCTGGCGGCCCGGGCCTGCCGGCGTCCGCCAGCAACGGAAACAGCCCGCCCGGCGGCCGCGCGGTGAGAGTGAGTTGGTCGAGCGTCAGCGGGTGCAGCCGCCGCCGCTTGGTCGCGCTGCCGCTGCCGCAGCCGCCGGCGTCGGGGCCGGGAGGGGACGGCAGGCCGGGGGAGGGGAGCCGGAGGCCGTCGAAGCGGCCGGCCGCGGGCTGCAGCGCGGCGGCCGCGGCCAACGCGTCGAGCGCGCCGAATGCCGGCGCTGGCGCACGGCGCGGCGGCGAGGGCGGCAAGGGCGGGGCGCCGCCGGCCGGCCCGCGGGCGGCGCTCGGGGC